TAACATGCATTCTAATCGAATTTTTTACTTTATGCATTTGTAAACAATTGTTTTTTTTTTTTTTTTAATGCATTACACTAACATACATTCTAATCGAATTTTTTACTTAATTTATTTTAGGTTCTTCGTGATGGCTTGGTAGCCATTTGATAATAGCTCGCCACCAATCTGATTTTACAAAATACAAAGTTTCTAAAAAATACTATTAATTCAATAAACATGTGAGATAATGACATTAATACGTTATTAAACAACCATCTAGCCAAATAAATATATGATTTCATTTACTTCTATTTTTCTTAATTCCTTATAATTGTTTGCATTACTATTTTCATGTTAGAAATTTATTAGACCTAATTTACTTATGTTATTCTTAATTGAAACTAATATAAAAATCCTTTGAATGCTAGAGTTTTAAAACTCGAACCGGCCTGACAGGTTGACCTGGGACTCGACCCACCTTGGCCTAAAACCGGTTCAGGTGAAGGTAAGAACCTACTTGGAAATTGGCCCGGTGAAACCTGGTCGACCCAAGACCCGGTCAAACTCGAGTGAGACCCGGTCTATTTTTTTTTTTATATTAGCAGTCTTTAAACGACGTCGTTTTGGCCTCATAAAAGGCCAAAACACTGAAGAGTGAACAAGAACAAAGCAATATTGGAGACAGTTGCAATTTGCAAACCTAATTAAATCAGCTCTTTGAAACCCAACTGAGGAACAGAGGACATCTTGACTATTGATCGTTGTTGTTTCTCTATGAAAAAGGTTTGAATCTCTTTCTTTCACTCTCTGTCCTCTTTATTCTTGGTTGTTTTTTGAATTACTGGCACCGATTCCTTCGCAGCCTAATTGCCGGCATCAATTTCAATAGCTGACATTGATTTGTTGTTCTTTGATTCATTCGCAGCCCAGTCACCTCAAGTATATTTCTTTAGCCTGATTTCTGCATCAATTTCTATCTTTTCTTTTCTGCAGCCCGATTTCAACTTCTGCCAAAAAATAAAAACTTTGCTATTTGTAGTTTTTAATGTTAATCGATGATGAACTCTAGAATGTTATTACCATGATTCTATTGTTTATGATTTAATGCTTATTACTATGATCCTTTTGATGTTGTTACCATGATTCAACAGTTATAAGTTAGTTGTGTGGTGTCTGTATTGTGTTGAATTGCATTGTTACAGCTGTGTTGAGTTACATGCTAAAAAATTAAAACCATGATTCTGTTTATTATCGATTTCAATTGCTTTGTTAATTTGTTAATTTACCAGAGCATTGTTAATTCTTTTACCTAATCAGATTTGTTAATTTCCTAGAGCATTGTGTTGAATATATGGTATCTGTATTGTGTCAATTGCATTGCTAATTCTCTTGCATTGAATAAAAACCACAAGACTGTTATTGTTAATTTCCTAAAGCATTAATTGAGTAGTCTTTTTATGTTATGTGTAAATAATAATGAGGCTCTAATTGTTAATCTAATGAATAGTGAGTTGGCTTGAAATTATATTCCTTTTTATAAATTATGTTAGGTCTTAAAATATCTTCACATGATGGTAGTACTTCAAGTAGTGATTTTTCAACGCCCAATAATCTCAACATTCAATTTCCATATCAAGTAGTAGTAGATGAAGAATAAATTTAACATATAAGATACTTTAGATGATGGTAATTACTGATTGATTATTTAGTGATAAATATTATTTAAAATAAAATTTTGTTTAACACATAATATTTATTTATTAATTATGTTTGAAATGTAAATGTCATAAATGTTAATGATATTGAAAATGATTGTGACGATGAAGTTTCAAAGAAGCATGCTGATGATTTATTAAGTGTTGACGAGATTGGCTCGATTCCATCGACATTTGATCTAAATTTTGCTTCTATGGATACAAAAGAATTCAATGTATTCATTTAACAAAAGTGAATGTATTGTTAATTTAGAATTTATGTTGTTGGATGTTTTATTTTAAATATTTTAGAATTTATATTTGATTTGTATTTTGAATATTGAATTAAATTTATGTTGTTGGTTTATAATTTAAATTTGATTTATGTAAGTGTTGTATAATAACTAGTTATGTATTTTTTAATAGTTTTCTTTTTTGTTAATCCGACTCAACCCATTTAACTCGTGACATGATCACTTGATTGGTTTAGATTTCAAAACTATACTGTATTTTCTTTCAAGTTAATTAATTCACGTAAAATATAGTTTTCTCTAAATTTTCTTTAATGGAACAAAATTAATGTCTAAGTTCATATAAATCCTTATTAAGGTGTAAAAATGTTCTTTCATGTACCTTTGCTGTTTGTATGATAATTAAGTTCATGACGTATACGAAAGCCATCGTGACAGATGGCTTTAGCGGTTTTCCCTAGTCTCACTGGCAATGCTTCAAACACGCAGGGACGGCCTTTAGAGATGGGCTGAATGTTGCGCAGAAGCAGGCTAGTCTGTTTGGGATTGCTGCTAAAATGGAGGGCGGTTAGAATTTATTTATTTATTTTTAGATAGTTTTAATATGATAATATAAAAAATAAAGTTTTAAAAATAAAAAAATTATTTTGATATATTTATAAAAAAATAATTATTAATATTCTCAAATATTTTTAAAAAATGCTAATAATTGATGCAACTTTTTTAGGAGTGAGAAAGATTGATTAGAAGATTGTTTAAGATTATGATAATAATTATTTTTTAAATATTTTTTTATAAAAATATTTTAAAATAATATTTTTTATTTTTTAAAATTTATTTTTGATATTAGTATATCAAAGAATTTATAATTATAAAAAAATAATTTAAAGTAAAATAAATTTAAAATTGTTTTAAAACACTTTTTAAATGCAAATAGAAATAGAATCTATTATTAAGGATGATTGCCCTGACGGCCACCTGCTTAGGAGAGACGGGTTGGATCCTGCGCATTAGGAACATATATGCCAAGAGCAGAACTTGATTTTTACAAGAAATAAAAAAAAAAAGCAAATATGAAAATAAAATAATTTTGGGGGTGCGAAATAAGCATTTTCTGTCAAATAGTCCTTAATTTGAATGGTTTAGTTAAAATATCTTCAATTTTAGGGGCCAAAATGTAAACTTCCAAAGTTTTTGGTGTGCCATGCCCCACTCTCCCTGAAGCTTCCTGGTACCTCCGCTGCTCAGAAGAACAAATATAACAGGCCTCCTTGGTTCTATCAGTAGAATTGATATTGTAGAATTAAGTATGATGTGCAAAACGACAGCACTTCAACGGAGCATTCAAATTTTGTTCAACTAATTGATGATATATGAAAAAACTAAATATATATTTTATACAATGTATACATTTATATAAATATCTTATAAATTTATAAGATATTTATATAAAATATTTTTGAAGATATTTATTTTTAGAAAATTTATATAAACAGATTTTATTTTTCTGGATTAAGAATCAATTATTGCTCCTTTCTAGATTTTAACTCTTTAAACAACATAAGAATAATAATAATAAAAAAAAATATAAAATTTAAATAAAGTTTAAGGAATATTTAAACTTGAAGAATATTTAATCTTTCCCTCACTTGAATAAAGACTATACTAACTTAAGATTCAAAATGTTTTCTTTGGTGTCGCCTAACCCACCATGTCCTTTGAATTTAGTTTTATCAGCATATAAAAAGTATCCCCAATTATTCTACCGAGGAATTTTTTAGTCTTATCATTTTGCGCTGCATATGAGAAATTGAATAAAAAATCAATTTATTAATATTTATTAAAAACTATTTTCATGGCTAATGAAACCCTAACAACATGTTAACAGCTATATCAATCACTATGCTAATGACATGCCATTGGTTAAGACAACAACTATGCCCTATGTGGTTACACCAAAAATTAAATCCATGTGATTATACCCATGACGACACCTATAGTTATGTATCTTACTATTGTTATAACTACACTCATGGCTATGCTCCATAACTATATGCTAAGTTTGTACCCATAAACAATTTTTATGATAGCTTGTATACATAAAAGATGACATTGGGACTTGAGGGCTCCAATGATAAATAAAAAAAAAAATTATGACATTACCCCTTATAATTATCCCCTTGTTAGGTAAAGTTTTTCAATCACATTTGTTTGCAAGATTTAGTGGCTTTAATAATATATGAAAAAACTATACAAATTGCTTTATATAATTTACATGCCTCCATAAATGTCCTAAATATTTATAAGATATTTTAATATAAATATCCTAGATATTTATATTAAATATCTTAAATATAATATTTATATTAAAAAAAATCTATATAAAAAGAATTTTATCTTTTTAGATTACGATTAACGGTCAGTCAAGATTTATCTTGGTAGATTCTATCTTTTTAGACAACATAAATATAAAGAAATCAAAATTTAATACAAGATTTATACAAGCTAAAATGACATTTAAATTTAGAGAATATTTATTTTTCTCGTCATTTAAACAAACACTATACCAACTTAAATTTCAAAATGATGTCATTAGGCGGACCAAGTTTCTCAAGTCTAGATTTATTAACCCATAAAAAATACGCTAAATCCTTCTACTTAAGTTATTTCTCTAATTGACTGTTACTTGTCATTCCTTTCGCAATTATCATTGAAATAAATCCAATCAAATATCATAGTTATACATAAAATCTAACAATTTTCTTCTATGATTGCATCGACTGTCTAATTTATGCGGCAGCAAATAGACAGGGGAAAATGCATTGAAATGCATAGAAAGGGCTGATGAGTGAGTACAGAATTTTGACATGGTCAATCCGGCATTAGTACCGATACTTTGGGACTATCCCCTTGTTGAGATGCCTAGTTCTTGTAAGTTTGCTTTCTTGTTGTGAAAGAATATCCATCATTCCGGCACTTGTATATGCTGTTGTAGAGTTTGTATAGCTTATAAATACTAGAAAATTTGGTCAGGAATTTATGTGCTAGTAAAGGAAATAAATAGGAAGTCCAAATGGAAAGCAAAACTTTTCTTCAAGTCCTATGCTTGGCCATTGTTGGTCTTGGCTTTGCAAGTGCAGAGGTTCCGGCTATTTTTGTATTGGGAGATTCGACAGCTGATGTTGGGACTAACAATTTCTTGCCAGGATTCAAAGCGAGGGCTGACTTTCCCCCCAATGGCATTGATTTTCCCTCCTCTAGACCAACTGGAAGGTTCAGTAATGGTTTTAACAGTGCTGATTTTCTAGGTTAGTACAAGAATTGTTAATGATTTGTTACCCTTGAAATGTAGAATTTGTCAATGATTTGTCTTATTTCAAAGATGATTACGTTGTGCTTTATTGTAACATAGCCTTTCGATGATGTTCCATGGTCAGCTATGCTAATGGGATTCAAGAGAAGCCCGCTACCTTTCTTTGCTCTCGCTGACAATCCAAAATTGCTCAAACGGCCTAGCTTCCGAGGAGTAAATTTTGCCTCTGGAGGGTCTGGCATTCTTGACATAACCGGGCAAACTGCGGTAAATGCCTAATTATCCTGATAGCCTATAACTTGCCCTTTAAGTTTTGAGAAAAATACTCTTTCCTTCTTCTCTTTTCAGTTAACCAGCTCGCTGAGCGGTGTTAAGAATGTTGTCCCACTACGAGAGCAGATTGAGCAACTTTCTGCAGTCCATGAAAATCTTACAGCTATTAAGGGTTCAGTATATACAGAAATTCTTTTCTCAAGGTCACTGTTCTTCATTAGCATTGGTAGCAACGATCTTCTTAGTTATTTCTATTCAAACAGTAGTGTACCCAAGCAAGACTTCATTTCTGCTTTGGGACTTGAATACGAAAAACAAATAATGGTAAGATCCTCCTTTTCCTGCCTGTTAGATCCATGACGCTACCATGTTCAAGAGCATACTGAAGCAACTGTTCTGCCTTGTTGATTTTGCAGAGTATCCTCGAGCTTGGAGCAAAGAAGATTGGTATTATTAGTGTTCCACCAGTTGGTTGCTGCCCATCACAAAGGGCTGTCAATGAAAGTGGGGGCTGTTTGGTGGGTTTGAATGACCTTGCTTTAGAATTTCATTCAACAATCAACGCCCTCCTGATGAAGCTCGGCTCAGAATATACAGACCTAAAGTATTCACTTGGAAACACATATGAGATGACCATCAATGTGATAGACAACCCTTTTCCATTCGGTAAGCTATTCTCTCTGAACTTCAATGCGTTGACAAATTTCAGCATAATGTTTTAGTTTTGTGCATCAGTTGAGTTGACCATTCCTAAATCTTCTGAACACTCATCAGGATTTAAGGAGGTGCAAACTGCTTGTTGTGGAGTCAAGAGGTTCAATGGCGAAGGCATCTGTGACAAAAATGCAAATCTTTGTCTGAATCGCCATGAATACTTGTTCTGGGATTTATTCCATCCTACAATGACTGCTTCAAAACTAGCAGCTCTAACCCTCTATGCTGGTGAACCGCGATTTGTATCCCCAATTAATTTCAAACAGTTGGCTGAGGCTTGATTAGCCAAAAAGACCTCTCCTTGATAAGATTAAATAATAAGGGAACATTGATCTCCCAGATCATCACATGCTTGTACAGCATGTTAACAGAGTTCATGTTTTTGGTGATATTAATTTGTAACCGTATTCTATTTGCTTATAGTGACTTAAATTGATTCATCAGTGTAGACCTCCACAATTAGCAGCAAACAATGAATTTTGATCTGATTTCAAGTCTTTCTAAAATTGTTATGGAATTCATTCAACCTTGTGTAATACTGCTTCTAAACTGGCAGCTCTAATCCGCTACAGAAACAAGTAAACCAACATTTATATCTCCTCTTTTACTTGCTCTAAAAAATATAGCTGCTGACATTTTGATCAACTATGTTGTGATAACTCAACCAGTTACATTGCATTTAACATGTTGAGTATGGCTTGCCTTCAAAGGTCCAAGGAGAGGGATTGACCCAGTTTTAAGTTGGAGACCCTCCACAAACCTTTTGTCCATTTGTAAAGCGGTGGTCAGAACTTCAGGATAAATAGGCCAACTGGCTCCAAAAACTGCATTTGCTACTGGATTTACTCCTGGTCTTGGCTTGTTAATGCAGCAAAAGAAATTGCATCTGCTACACAAAAAGATCTCCTAGTTTTAGAATCTCTGTGAAGAGACGGTGATCCGGGTTTGATGTGACAAAACCAGCACATAAAATAAAATGCCTTGTGAAACCAAAAGAACCTCCAATGCTCTAGGATGATACTGTGGAGAGTCCAGGCCACCATCTGGTTCATAAGCTACACGTACCAAGAAAAAGTATGAGATTAATATGTACTCTAATTTGTTTTGATGTATTTTCAGAAACATTTAGTCCTGAATACAAGAAAATCATTCTGGGTTCTTACATAATTTCCCATTAACAATTAGCATCATTTATTGCTATGCAAAAGTCTTGGAGGGGGCTGGGAGTCGCATGCGGAGTAGCAAATGAGAAAGCCATAGCCAAGAGAGCAAAAGCTCCTAGCAGTGGGATATAATTTATGGCCACTTTTACTCTTATAAAACCGTGCCTGTATGATCAAATTTAAAACCACGAATTTCTTATCGTTTGATTAAGAAAAGCAGTCAAGAGGTTATCTTTATTGGCCGAAAACTGTCTTCAAATAATAGTTTCCTTTATCATCATTTGTATATCAAATCAAATGAACATCGATCCCATTTACATCATTTTTTTGTCGCCAAATAGGACAAATTGAATGAAGATTTTTGGTTTGGATACTTCTTTTATAAAGAACAAAAAAGAAATATAAAAAAATATATTTAAAATTTTATTTAACTATTTAAGTTTGAGGATTATTTTACGCGGTATTAGAGTCTTAATTACCAAACAGTCACGAATTTGAATATCTTTATTTTTATTTATTTAATAAAATTTAAGTATAAAATAATATAAATCTGAACAAGTTTTAAATTAAAAATCTTTCATTTGAAGAGATATATTAAAAAATAATATAAATTATATTTTAAAAATTTAATTAATAATTTAAACTATTGAATTGGAATTATTCTTAAATAATAACAGAGTTAAATACTCACCTGATTAATTAGAAGTTAAAAAAACATATTACATGTCGTGGCTTTGCATTCTCAGACTTCTACATTTTTCAGTTCTTGTCCTCTGGGAGGGATGTCCTCATCTTGTTCCAGGACTCTAGTCATACAATATAATACCATATTATTATTAGATATTAACAATTATCCATGAATTGCAATTCTTTATGTGAAACAGAGAGCACCTCTGTTTTTCTTAAATGCCATCACCGATGGACATGTGTGAGATAACAAAAATACCCTTGCTAGATTCATGTGGAAAAAATGGTGATGACTGATGAACAAGGGGGGCAGTTTAATCATTTCAAACATGAATGGTTACGTGCCTATTTGTATTTTAGAATGATAAATAGTTGTGCTTTATTGGCACAATAATTAAAAAAGATAGTATTCATATCCTAAGTCTTCGAGTACCCCTGCCTTCGTGGGCACTCACGTCATTTCCTCTTCTATACTGACAAGTGCCAATTAAAGTATAATAAGTTTACTATTTTGGGATGGTCAACATTGATTTAGTTACTTGTGCCAATTAATGCTGCCGACTTTAATAGCAATAAAATCGATAGGGGGGGTGATACGTGAGCATAGTGATAAAAGCAAGATGGATACCGTGTAACATCTAGTTTTTTTAAATATTTTTTATTTTAAAATATATTAAAATAATAATAATTTTTTATTTTTAAAATTTATTTTTTACACTAACAAATTAAAAATATTTTAAAAAATATAAAATAATAATATAAAAAATAAAAAAATATTAATTTTTTTCATAAACACTTTTAATATAAAAAAACAAATGAATTCTAAAACATCTATTCTTCGACAGCTTTATTAATAGTTTGTGCAAATTAAGGCAATGCATGCTGATTTGAGAAACTAATCGAATGTAAATCATGGAAACAAGAAAAATATAAGAGATTCAACTGAAAATTACTATTTTTCAGAGAAATAAAATGCCTAGGTGGTAGGTGGTAGTAATGGAGAGATTTTTTTTTTATATAAAAAAATATCATAATTTGCTAAATTTTCTGGATCATAACATAAGTTCAAAAAAAATTTGAAAAAAAAAAACATAGTTTAAACATTATCATGTTTTAAAATAAATATTATTTTTATACGTAACTCTTATTTGGAGTAGCTCTTAGAATATATTTTCAACACAACGGCTATATGAAATAGTTGTTGTTTAGTAAATGTTTCAAAAACAGTTTTTTGATAAATTAATTAATTTAAACTAAAATCAACCAATATTTTATATGAAGATGCAAAGATCAAGAGATCATATTCAAGATGGAAGGACTAAAAAAGAAAAAAGGAAATAAGGTGATCTAGAAACAAAGAATAGGTTTAAGAATATATCAGGACTCTATTTTTGATACACTCGATATAGTCAAAAATTTTTTAATGATGTAATTCTAACTATATCTTTAAAAAATACCAAATAAAATCATAATTAATTGATCTAAACAAATTATTGTCGTGTTTGATGGTTTTTCAATGTATGACTAGAACCGTTTTGCCAAGATGTTTCTAATGATAATGGATATGTAAAAAATGAAGTTCTAGTTTGTCTTTAGTGACTCAATTTTTCTTAGCAATTAAATCTTAAATTTTATTTTTTTCCATTAAATCTTTATAAAATTTTAGGTTTGATTTTTTATGTATGTTGATTAAATTAAGAGGGAGATAGTTTTTATAATAACCATTATTTTCAATAACAGTTGTTTTCTTTGTGTTCAAACTGTATTATTTTTTTAATAATTTTAATTTTTTATGAAACTATTTTATAATTCTAAAATACCCGCAATTGAGAGTATATATAGTGCACGACCGCTCTCTTCTTCAATAGCACTATTGCTAGTTCTGTTCTGAGGCTTGAATATGAAAAATTAACACTTACAAGGATATGAAACTTTCTTTTTTCCCTTCTGTTAAACCTGTCCATGGTTCTATCATGCTCAGAAGAAGTTGTTTCCGATACAGCTTCTTCCTAACTTCTACCAAGTTCAAGACTGCACCGAAGCAAATGTTTCTGCTTCGATGACTTTTGCAGAATCTACTTAAAGCTTGGAGCAAGAAAGATTGATTGCTGCCCGTCCATCTCAAAGGTTTCCAAGGCAAGAGGGGAAGAATGACGTTGCGATAGATTTTCATTTGACCACGAAAATGCCTTTGATCAAAGCTTGGCACCGAATATACAAACTTATCGTTTTCACGTGAAAACACATTTATATTAGATGATTATCAGTGTGTATAGACATACAAGTAAGCAAACAAAATAATGAATCACATGCCGCAGATTAAGACTTAGATATTCTGGATTTAATTTAACCTCAGTATTTTGTTACAACATGTTAATATAAAATAAACTTGGACTTTAATTTGTACTCATATCAGTCCATTAATTCTGCTTTCTTTTAGTAATTTGAATTGATTCTTCAGTCTGTGCCTCCACAATTAAACAAATAATAATTGTGATCTGATTGCAAATCTTTCTTTCTAAAATTGTGATGTATTATTGTCATGGTATATACTGATTTATTCAGCCTTACATAAACTGTTCTTAAGCTAGCTGCTTTGAACAGCTACAGTAAAAGAAATATTAAACTTTTATATTAACTTTCCTCTCAAAAATATAATCAATGACTTGGTCACATGTGTTGCAATTCGTGCATCCTAGATGATGAGGTTAGGGTATTTTAATAGAAAAAGAAACTGATAATAAATAAAAATGAGATTAAATTTTTTTTTTTAAAAATGCATATCAAGATATTTAACAATGCAACACCGGTTATTTACTCGATTATGATTAAAATATTTAACAGCGCAATACTAGTCATTTACCTGATTGTGTTTAATTAATTTATTTATCAAAATTAATTTGTAATAAAAATTAAGAAAAAAATAAATTTATTAAATAAAATAAAAGAAAAAAAATATCATATAAGGTTGCATACATTAAAAATATCATAAAAATAAACATTTTTAATTTTTAATAATAAATCTAATTTATATTAAATATATAAAAAAATTATAAATGAATCATATTAACCTCATAAAAAATTAAAGACATTCAATATAATTAGAAAAGGCTAACTAAGCCAAAAACAAAAAAACAAAATCTATAGCTTCAATTTAAAATTCCTTTGACATCTACTTAGTTTTTAGCATGATTCTTGCCATATTGAGGATACTCCTATTCTTTTTCTCGACCATGCTATTTTGTTGTGGTGATCTAGGAATTATTAAAAGTTTTTTTTTGTATTATAATCTTCACAAAACTCATTGAACTCATTCCAACAAAATTCACTATATTTGTCCTAAATGATTTTATAGAATAATTATTTTTTTTTTCAACTAATGTCTTAAATTTCTTAAAACATTTAAATACATTAGATTTTTTTTAAAAAAG